GAATTCACTCCTGCTGCCCTCACCTCCAGCTGTGGGGAGTGAGCCCTGGCTTCATGGGCACCCACACGCTCTCCCTGAGCCTCTTGCTGAAGGACTGAGGAGCAGTGGAAGGCAGGGCCATGGGGCAAGGGCACAGGGGAGCTGAGTCTCCAAGACGGGAGAGAGGAGCACGGAGCAGAGGAAGCGGTAGAAGATTTTCTAGGAAGCCTGGGAACCACTTCCACAGAGCGCCTTGCATAAATTTGCATGGCAAAGAATATTCTTTGCATGCTGTGTTCCAGAGGCTGGGATTCCAAGGCGACCAAAATGCTAGAGGTGACTCAGGACGCTGGAGCACGCCTGTCTTGGGATCCGGGAGGGGAACGGGCAGGAAAGCTCTGCAAGGAGGGGTTAGGCTGGAGTCCCGCCCCTCTTCACCCCTCAGGTGACCAACCTTCTGGTTTGTCTGGGACCAAAGGGTATCGCCTCTCAGGATGCAGGAATCTTAGTGCTGAAACCAGAGAAGTCTGGAGCGTCACTCCCCAACCCTGGACAGTACCCACAGCTGCACTCTGGTCGTGTTGCACATCATGGCATTGTAACCACCCATGGATTGAGCACCAGCTGTGTGCCCCGTATGTTCAGGAAAATCTGAAGGCCAGCTGAAGAGACAAAAAGGGGACAAGTCCCGAGGCCTCCATTTTCTGGTGTGGACAGTCACTATTCTCCCTCACGGCATCTCCACCCTGTTGTGAATACCTGTATGTACAGGCCAGAGACTCAGAGGAGAAGGGAGCCGGCCCTCCCCTAAGAAGAGGTTTTCAGGCTGTTTGGTGAAATTGGACTCACCCCAGGGACTATCAGGCAGCAGCCGTGGCCAGGAAGCAGGCAAGGGCTGGATGTCCAGAGGGGGGAGGTCAGTGTGGGTGGGCAATCGTAGAAGGTGTCCTGGAGAAGGTGGGGTGGTGAGGAGAGCCTGAGGTGGCCCTGCCATCGCACAGGGCGGGGGACGTGCTTCAGAAGTGGCTGGGCCAGGGAGTGGTAGAGCTGCAGGATGCAGGGAAAGGAGGAGGAGGCCAGTGGCCGTGAGGTCAACATGGCCCCAGCCGGGCGATGAGGCCTGCCCCTGGGCAGTGGCATTGGGAGTGGAGGCTGGGATGTTGGATGGGGGTGGGGGCGTGTAGCCAGTGTCAGAGGAAAGGATCAGGAGGAAACAGTTTGAAAAGCAGGCTTCGCAGTTTGCTTCACTGGACTCTCGGGAGCCAGCAGAACTTTGGGAGAGATGCCCCCAGTAACCAGAAACTGATAGACTTGGGACAAGATGGGTTCGGGGGCCCCTTGAGCTTGAGTGAGGCTGCACAGAACAGGGGCGACTGGGCTGGGCCAGGTGGTCAGCTGGAAGAAGCCGTTCCAGCCCAGGGAGCGGCTACAGGGCTGATGCAGACAGAGAAGCTGGCCTGGACGAGGGGAGAGATTTGTGGGGGTGCTGCTTCTAGAGGAATGGTCTTGGAATCAAATCAGGCCCAGGCTCCCCCACGTGTTGGATCTGTACAAGACTGAGACCTCCTGTTCTTCCCCAGCTAGAGGTGGGGCCTTCCCCGGAGAGCTGGGGGCCTGACTTCCTGGGCCTGCGGGGGATGGCCGGGCCTGAGCCTGGAGCGTCCTCGGCCCACTCCCAACCCCTCCTTACCCTGGCATCACCGGAAACCTTGCAGCCAGCGCTCAGCCAGTCTCGGCCACAGGCAGGGCATGGGCCCTGAGCTGCTAAAGGAAGAGCAAGGCCAAAGCCAGGTGCAGGCGGGGGGAGAACAAGGGAGAAAACGGATCCATCCTGCACCACCTGCGGGCCCAGAGACAAAGGACACTCTTGACTGGTTTACTTTGGAACCTGAGGCTGCCTGGCTGGTGGGCAGCGGGGAACTTCATCTGGTTTCAGAAACCACAGAGTTCCAAGGATTTGGGGGCTCTACTGGAGGCCACCGGGGATAAGACCCTTCCTCAGACCTAGGCCCCCAAACTCACTGCTTCTTTATTAACGTGTGAAATAACAAGATCTGACAGCGGGTCTAACAAGCATTGTAATTGTGAAGTATCAGTGAGCATTCATGATATGAGATACTTGGGGCGCCGGTCACGGGACAGGAAAATATCAGCAGGTTCTATTGGTCACAGGCACTGTTAACGCTATCATTTTTGCTGCCTGCATTCATAATTGAGGGAAGAGCTCAACTGCAGTTAGAAGTTAGTAAGAATGAGGAGCAGTTCCTCCTGCCCCGAATTCTTTCCCATCCGTCCAAAAGGCCGTTAGGAACCCCTGAACTCTACAGACAAGCGAAGCTATCTCTGCCTTTGGCAGTCGGGAGAGTGGTTGCCCCTGACCAGGGAGGGTAGTTGGCGACTGGAGGGGAATCCAAGCGTGAGGGACGGAGGACAATTTTTTTCTTGGCTGTGCTGTTACCAGCTGCGGTTAGTTTGCGGAAATTCATCCACCTGTACACTTAGAATATGTGCGCCAATCTGCATGAATCATTGATTTCAATACACATTTTTAAACAAGTGTATTAGAACAGACGTATATGTAGGTGTGAGCGTGTATGTGCATGCACATTCTCTCTCTCTCTCTCACACATACACACACATGCACACACACCCCAGTATATACCAGTGAGCCTCTGCATGTCCATGGGCATACACGTGTCTCCCTTGCAGGACACAGATGGATACAGTGAGACAGAGAACACTATTTTTAGGAAATAATTCCAAACCAAAGAGGAGGCTTCCTGATTTACTTGACTAGTGATTGCTGATGGTGGAGAGGGTTGTCCTACAAAGGGCTGTTGTCATCCTGGCTGGCTTTTTTTCTTTTTTCTTTTTTCAGTAAAGACTAATGACTTTACTGTTTTTGTAAAAATAATACAAGATCATCCTAAGTAATTCAAGCACTAAAGAAAAGTACAAAAAAGAACATGTAACATGACCCACATTTTTACCGGCGAAGGAAAAAAATCACCATTCACCTTTGGTGACGAGTGTCACAGACACTTTTCATGTACGCTCAAAGATGGAAGCTAGACAGGGACATGCTTTTAGAAGATGGGAACCTGGGGCACCTGGGTGGCTCAGTCGTTAAGCGTCTGCCTTCAGCTCAGGTCATGATCCCAGGGTCCTGGGATCGAGCCCCCCGTCGGGCTCCCTGCTCCGTGGGAAGCCTGCTTCTCCCTCTCCCACTCCCCCTGCTTATGTACCCTCTCTCGCTGTGTCTCTCTCTGTCAAATAAATAAATAAAATCTTTAAAAAAAAAAAAAAGGAGATGGGAACCTACTCCCTCACCTGTTTTTAACAAAAATGTTCCTTTACCTTGACTTGAATGAAACAGAGCAACAAGATCCCGAAGGACAGGGTGGTTCTTAAAGTGCTAGGTCCTAGGACCTCTCCTCTGACTTCCCTTCATACCTGCCTTGCTGCACTTCCCTGGAGACAAGAGGTGCCCTTTTGAGGCCTGGCTGTGTTATGCTTGCTCACTTTTTACTTGTCACCTGGGCAGGTGCCTACCTCCCAGCAATCCTGGGCCCAGGCCTGGGACCTTTGAGGGCTGTGTGCAAGGGTCGGTGCGGCAGATGACTGGGGTCGTTGGTGACATGTTTCACAGGAGTGAGATCAAGGCAAAGTCTGCCTTGGGTTGACGGAAAGGGATTCTGTCCTGGCGGAGATCTCCAACAGGTGTCCACCCTGCCCTCTTGAGCTGGTGCCCGGCCATTCCTGGGTTTGATGTGGTAATTAGCCATACTGCCTCCCCCTTCCCGGGGGTGTTGCAGTCAGGAGCTGTGCCTACCACATCCTGTTTTGTTGGGACAGTCAGGAGCACATTCTTTGGTCTCCATGTCATAGGCAGAGCATGTTCACACCAGGTCCTGGATCATTTGAGGCCACTGGGGCCCACATTCTCCCAGTTGGGCGTCACGTGCGTGTGCTGGTCAGACACCCTCGTGGATGGTGGTCACTGTTTTCTGGTTCTGCTCTCACTTGGGATCAGCCCTCATTTGTTCGGATTTGGGAAGAGGGGAGCGTGTGGAGAGGTGAAGAGCCCGAGATGCTCCATCTGAGTTTCCCATCTTTGGAAGAAGGTTCACCTAGGGGGTTTGCGGAGGACCCTCCCGGCAGGGCATTACTGCACTTGTGTGTATATCCAGTGCCAGCATTTGGACGACAGCTCCAAAGTTGTGACCCTGCTCTTTCCAAAACCCCGTGGCATTTGCCTGGGTATCATTCGGCAGACACAGATGCCCCTTCAGTTACCAGATGTTGGCACCTCCATGCCCCAGGGAAAGTCTGGGCACCCTCCCCCTGTAGGCACGTGGTGCTGTGGGGAGACAGACAGAGTAACTCTGTCTTTGGCCCCACCGCCCAGGCTGCATCTGCCCAGAAGAAAAGAACCCCCGTGTTTGGGCGTTGGCCCAGAAGGCCTCTGGTCACCTTCCGCAAGGCTCCAGGGTTTCGTATAGAAGGGACAAGCTTGAGAGGAGGGATGGCACTGGGTACCTTCTAATGCCCTTCCCTCACCTACATATTCTTCATCATGCCTTCCATCATTCATTTGTTCAGGACCAGCCTTGCCAAGGCCCTGGGATGGAAAGATGACAAGTCTCAGCCCTGCCCCAGGGAGTGTCCCTCCTAGTCCAGAGAGTGTCAGCACCTTTGTGGGAAGTGTCTGTCGGCTTGGTTCAGGAACCCACAGGTGCAGGTGTTCCCTTTTGTGTTGAGTGTGTGTGTGACACAGCCACTCTTGCCTACTTGTCATCAAATGTGCTCAGTGGGATGGGAAAGGGACCCTCCTACGGATCCCCACGCAGAGCCCACAGCCCGGAGGACATTGGGTTTGCCCAGGCCAGCGCCGGCCAGGTGTGCCTCTGGAGAGGTTGGGAACTGTGGCCGGGACCGTCTCTGCAAACCTCATCCTTCCCTCCCCCCGCACAGCCCATGTTCTCTGGCTTCCCCACAGGCCACGCGAGGACTGCCTGTGCCCCAGAAGCAGGATGAGAATATGGCAGACTTCCTGTTACCTCGGGGCACCAGCAGCTTCCGCAGGTTCACCCGGGAGTCCCTGGCTGCCATCGAGAAGCGCATGGCGGAGAAGCAAGCCCGAGGCTCGGCCGCCTCGCAGGAGAGCCGGGAAGGGCTGCCCGAGGAGGAGGCTCCCCAGCCCCAGCTGGACCTGCAGGCCTCCAAAAAGCTGCCAGATCTCTATGGCAACCCACCCCGAGAGCTCATCGGGGAGCCCCTGGAGGACCTGGACCCCTTCTATAGCACCCAAAAGGTGACTGCCACCCACCTCCCTGCCCACGCCTTCCTGCAGCTCCTCTCTCAGCACAGCACAGAGGGAGAGGGCCTTGCCTCCATATGGGGCTGCGTTCGGGGCGGGCTCCCTGAGTTTTGGGGGAGTGAGTCATTGGGGATCTATATTCCGATCATTTTCATTTTATTCCAGAATAAAAGCTAGAATCACGCAGCCTGATGTGGTTTGGTGTTAGAAGAGAAGGAGCGAGCAGCCACAGTTGAAATGTTGCCTCCTTGTGGAGTGCCTACTGTGCGGGTCATCTGTGGTTAGACTTTCTGCGAGGTGTATGATCTGGAGTTGGGCCCTAAGTCCTGTCCTGAGTTTGGGCTCCAGAGTGCAGCGTGTGGTCCCCACTCCTACTAGGGACAGTGCGTTGCCCACACACTCGGGCCCAGAGGATTCACTGGGCCTTGGCTGTGCCTGGGTAGCTCAGGTGGGGGACCGCAGCAGCAGCTCCTGGGCCTTGCAGGCTGGCAATGGGACTGTGAAGGCCAGTGGGAAATCTGAGATCTTGGGCGGCGGGGGTGGGGGGGCAGGGTTGTTCTGCCATTGTCCTCCTGGGTGTAGGGAGACGAAATAGCTTTTGTCCACTAGGCAGGGTGACTCAGGCTCTCTCCCAGCAGGGATTTCCACCCAGGAGGTGGGTTCCCCCATCTGGGTGCCCTGCCCCGACCCCGCCTCTCAGACCACAGGCACACAAGGCTCCCACAGAGGCCTGGTCCCCGGCCGGTTGCCCACACTTCTGGGCCTCGCTGCTGGAAGAAGGCGGGTTTGCATTTGGCGGAGGCCTTTCCCCAGAAGGCCAGGTACTGAGGAGAAGGTGGCTGCTCACATTACTGCAGTCAGCGCCGGGGCTGGGGAAGCACTGGAGGGCAGACAGGGTCGGTGCTCACAGGGCAAGTGTGAGCATGCAGCCGGCAGCGTGAATCCTGTGTGTCTGTATCACTAGGCACCTGAGTGTGTGTGTGACCGTGCCTGTGGTGTGGTGCACAGTGTCTCCATGTGTGATGGGAGTGGGTGTGGGTGTGAGGGGGTAAAGGGAAAGCCCACCCAATCTACATGCACAGGTGGGAGAAGAGACCTTGGACCTGCTTGTGCTTTCCCCTGGTTCAAATGACAAAGGTGGGGGTGGGGTCAGAGTCAGGCTGGAAGCTGGGATTAGTCAGGGCAGGTGGGTCTAGGTCATGGTTGGTCACAGCTGGAAGTAAAAGAGTCAGGGTCAGGGTTAAGGTCAAAGCTGGTGGCCAGTCCAGCTTTCAGGCGCAAATCAGAGAGGCAGCTACGTTAGAGTCGGCTGGGACAGGCAGAAGGCATGGCAGGAGGACCCAGTTGAGGATGGAGTCAAGGCTGGGCTGGGTCAGGGACACTGGAAGCAGGCGGGGACACTGGTTTCTATCCCTGTGATCAGGAATACTTGAACCACAGCCCAGGTATGACTCTGGCCTCTAACCTTCTGTCTCTCCTTGCTGACCCCTGGCCACACTGCCTCAAGTCCCAAGGGGTGACCCAGGCACCACAGCAGAACTTTTGGTCCTGATATACCCGGTCAGCTTATCTCCCCAGCTCAGATTAAATAGAACTTTGTCTCACCAGCTCAACCTTTGGAGAAGCACAGCCCCAGAGCAGTGCCACCTCAGCTGTACCAGCCTTAGCCTGGGCAGCTGGGGATAGACTGCTGTCCTCCAGGGCCGCATCTGCACGGGGCTCAGCCTCCAGCGCCCCCTATCCACTCCCATGCCCCGTTGTGCTGTGTGGACAGTGTCTTCTGGAAGCTTGGGGAGAAGGTCCACCATGGGCTGCTCAAGATCCTCCTGGGGGAGACACCAGGTCATCTCCTCTGGGGTGGGGTAGACCTGACACCTGCCCTGGACCCCGAGACAGGGCCTCAGGGAAAGCTTCTCTCTCTGTGGGCTGGGGTCTGCCTTTTCCCATCCCTACTTCTCAGCTGTTAGTCTTCTCCACTGACCCAGCCCCCTCATTAGCCCGTCACTCCCAGCGGGCAGGGAGGGGTCAGAAAGGAGAAGGGGAAGGAGAGGGCATCAGCCAGGTCCTGGCCTCTGCTGTGAAAACAGCTCGGCTAGGATCAAGAGAGGTCCCTTCTTGTTAGGACTGTCATTTTGAAACTGACCTGAGTCCCACCCAACCTGACATTCCCCTAACCTTGACCTTATCCCACCACAGCCATGGGCTGTGGCCCCCCACACCGTGAGGGGGCCACTGACCTGCTCGCTTCTTCCCCTCCCCCCCTCTGTCCCTCTCTTCCTCCCACCCCGCCCCTTAGCCAGGGCTCTAGGGCTCTGAGCCAACAACTGCCCCCCAAAGTCCTCTCTCCACAGGGGCTGAGGGGCCACCGCCCCAACCTAAAGCAGCTCTCTGTTCACAGACCTTCATCGTGCTGAATAAAGGCAAGACCATCTTCCGGTTCAGTGCCACCAATGCCTTGTATGTCCTCAGTCCCTTCCACCCTGTCCGGAGGGCAGCTGTGAAGATTCTGGTTCATTCATATCCTTTGCCGTGAGTCCCTGCTGTGTGTCTCCTCTAGGTTCCACGTGGGGGTGGGCAGGGTGTTCGAAGCGGAGAGTGGTGCCGGTCCCTGGGGACCCCAGCAGCACGGTCATCACCTAGTGGCTGATTGGAAATGTAGGGCTCTTGGACCCCACCCCAGAACTGCCAACCAAGCATCTGCATTTCAGCAATATCCCAGGGGATTCTTGGGCACATGAAAGTGTGGGAAACCCTGCTTCTTCAGTAGAGAAACGTCCTAGAAGCCAAGCTCCTGAGGATCCCAGAAGACAAAGAGGTCTGCCAATGTCCCCTGGCTCTGCTTCAGCTCCAAAGTCCCCTCCCACTGCCTCCCCATCCCTGTGCAGGGACCTCAAGCTGGGCACGGGGGCTCAGCCAAGGAGAAACCACTTCCCAGTAAAGAGGCCTCTGGTTTATTCACATGTGGGCATCCTTCGAGGGAAGCAACACTTGCTTTTTGATTAGGTGTTGACAAAATGTTTGCAGTTTCAGAGTTATCTCAAAGAACTCTGGTTAGCGTTAAATTATATAAACGGCAGCCTAAAAAAGCCGCTGGCTGCGGAGGAACACCCTGGGAGTGCTCCAGTGTAACAGGGGACAGGACTGGCCTTTGGCCCTAAGGGGGCCTCATTCAGGCCGCGGGACGGGGGACAGGAGACAGGGCGCCAGCACCCAATCACAGCTGTTCTGCGGACTTCAGCAAAGGGGCCCCACAGATGGGGAGGCGCGGAGGCGGGTGTCCGGATGCAGTCGGAGGCATCTGTGTCTCACGGTGCCAGCCTGGGGAGCCTTCCTTTGGCTGGCAGCTGGCTGGGCTGTTAATGGAATCAGTGCCGCTGGGCTCTGCGGAGTGATTAGCCGTGGGCGTGGCAGGCTGTCCTCATAGAGCTCCCCATGGTCCCCCCTCCATTCCCCACTCTGGATGGACCTTTTCGGAGGCCAAGGCAAAGACCCATTAACCTCTGAGCAGGGCAGGAGGCTCCAGGAAAAACAGCTGCCCCGTGAGGAGCTAAGTCACCGAGACAGATGCTGACAGCTCAAGGGGCTTTCCCCGTCTGGGCGGGGATGAGGGATGTCCCTTCCTGGCTCCATTTCACCTGTGCCCCAGTGCCCGATCCTCGCCCCAGTGCCCGATCCTCACCCCAGGGGTTAATCGGAGGAGCTCAGTGCCAAATCTGTTATCTGCATGCAGACACTCTTTCCCCTCCTTCAGCTCGCTCCTGCCTTTCTCCTAGGATTCGCTAGATGTGTGCGTCCAGGGAAAGTGCCACGTGCAACCCCGACTGTGGCAGCCGCGGGGTGGTCTCTGGGGTGGGCAGACACCGAGGGGAGGGGCTCCATTCAGGGAGCAGCCTGCCGTTCATAGCTACATCCTACTTTGTGGGGTAGAGTCATTCTAGATTGAATTTTGAGTTATTCTGCAACTGTTTGTAAACCCCCTGTAGATGCTGGGCACTTTGCCGAGCACCCTGGGTGTATGGCGCTGAACAGGACCCTGTCCTTGCCCCCTTGGGAATTGTACAGTCCCCTAAGACTGATAAGACAGCTACAGGAATAGTTGTCATTCCTGCCAGCGTGTGGGCACAGCCTGGTGAGGACAGAGCAGAGGGAGGAGGAAAGGCCGGCCTCCTCGCTAGCTCTGAGCTGGTCTCCGCCTCACTCCAAGGGCGTGGCCTCCCTGAAAGCATGCTCGGCCTCCCACCTGGGGCTTCTCCTCCAGGTATCTAACCAACCCAGCACTGTTTGGCAGCCATGGCAGCCCCCAGGGATGCAGCGACAGCCCCAGGATTCCTGCAGGGCCCTGGGCTGGGCCCCGGATGGGGGTGGCCAGATGAGGCCAGGGAGGTGGTTGGGGGCACTGGCGTCCGCAGCCTGACCAGAGGGTCCATTGAGCAGTGGCTGAGGCCGTGCGGTGCTGCTGGTGTCCCCCCCTGGCCCCCGCCCTCCGCGGGGACGACCGACCCTGAGGCTTCAGAGCCGGCCTGTGTCCCCTAGGGCAGCTGCCCCAGGGAGGTGGCTTGCCATGGTTGAGGCCCTGCAATGGGCTCCCAGGGGCTGCCTCGATCATCCTCGGCTGCCTGGGATTGGGAGCACTCTGCTGGTCCTCAACAGCGCCCCTTAGTAGGCTGGGGGGCAGTGCGGGAGAGGAAGGGTCTAGATCCTCGGGGGTTTGGGAGCAGCCCCTCTGCGCCCTTGGAGCCTTGCCATTCAGAGTGTGGTGCACAGACCTGTAGCAGCAGCAGTGTGAGGATCTTGTAAGAATTGCCGAATCTCGAGCCCCTCCCCAGAACCTGCATTTTCGCGAGGGCTCCTCCATCCGAGCACACACCGCCCTGGGCAGTTGTTTTCAGGTGTCGGTCTGTGAGGGTCACCTCAGGCTCACCTGGGCAACTTATTTAAAATGAAGATTCCTGGCCCTTTCCAGACCAGAAGCTCCAGGGTGAAGCCTAGGAATCCACAAGCTCTCTGTGTGTATCTCTTTTTTTCTTAATTGAAATATAATTCACATACCATACAGCTTATCGTTTTGAGACAAACAGCTGAGTGGATTTCAGTATATTCCTACGGTGGTGCAACCATCACCGCCATCTAATTCCAGAACATGTCATCGCCCCAAAAAGGAGCCCCGTGCCCCTTGGCAGTCACTATGAATTTTGAATGCATACCCATCTCGTGTTTGAATAGTGAACTTTCACTCTGCTTACATTCTTTTGTGTTGTGGTGGAAAAAAAAACCCCACAGAACATAAAGTTTACTCTCTTGACCATTTTTAAGTGTATAGTTGAGTGGTGTTTACTATGTGCATATTGTCCTGCAGCAAAGCTCTAGCACTTTTGCAAAACTGAAACTCTGTACCCATGGTTGGCTTACATTTTCATATCCATTCAGACACCTACTGAGCCACCCATGTGTGCCCTTCTGTGCTCGGCCCTTTGGAAAGGGCCAGGGGGCAAAGACAAACTGAGGAAGGGGCAGGAGGGTGGCCCCTGCTCTCAAGGAAGAAAACCCACTCACTAGCAATGATGCAGGCATTCACAGCGACCTGCTGGCGAGTGCGCCGTAATTCAGCTCAGCTTTGCTCTGTGCACCACGCTTGTACTGCATCCCTGGGAAGTGGCCTAAAAAGTAAATATGGGTATGTAGAATTATTTTTTCCAATGTATTTTTGTTATAATCCTGCAGAATGTGTTCCTGCCAGGATTAAATAAAAGAAACCAACTGAATTCCCAATTCTACTGCAGTCACATTCAGAGAGGCCTCACGTTCATGCCGAGAAGCTTTCTGCCTTCCTGGGTGCACAGGATCTGTTCACAAAATCCTCCCACGTTTCTCTAGCAGATTCAAATGGGCAATCAAACCACATGTTTGTGTGTGTTTGTGTGCGTGTGTGTGTGTATGCATGTTCGTTGAATGGCACAAATATATGAAAATGCCCCCCACAGCATCCCTTCTGTTTGCGAGGTTTTTTTTGTTTTTTTTTTTGACTCCTCGGGATCCGAAGACAGGCAGGCCAAGTTTCAGGCATTCCCCACCAGCCATGCAGGCAGTCCTTGCCGGCATTTTAATTATGAGGCTGGGAGTGGGTGTTTGGGGACAATAACACGACAGGAGTGAAGATGTTCAGCTGAGCTCAGACCTAGAGAGCTGGCCTTTGCCTCTGCCCACACATGGGGCCAGCTCAATCATCGGCCTGAAACTGCCAGGCAGTGCAAACAGGTGTGTCCTGTACCGGCCTGGAGTGCCCTTGACTCATCTCTCCGGTATTGGCTGCCTGCTGGGCTCCATGGGGGACATGGGGATGCTTTGAGCAGAGTCACATGGACTAGAGACACCTCTAAGCAGGAAGAGACCACACACATATAGGAGTGACAGAGAATAATGGAAGGACCGTCTTCAGGGTGCGGAGAGCCAGGCAGGGTTTTGAGCAGTCAAGTGGCCCAGGGTCTAGAGTTGGCTGCACCTCACCCTAACCGGTTGCTGTGTCTCAAAAAGCCAGAACCCAGGCAGGCAGCTCCTGTCTTTCCCCACCGTGGGACACAGGCCCTGGCTAGCAGCACTTAGAAGGGCTGTCTTCTCTGGCTCTTCCCTAAGTTCAACTCGCCTCAACTCCAGCTGAGTCTTTTGGTCCGAAGTAGCCTGTCCACCCTGCTGTTCACTGCCCAGGGGCCTTTTCTTCGCTCTAGTGAGAGCAGTGAGAGGGGTCTCCCCAGTCAGCACACCTTGCTTCACCGTGACCAGCTACGCTGATGGATTGCTAAAGGAACACTGCCCAGCCTTAGGTGCCTGTCTAAATGCCTCCTCCAGGAAGCCTTCCTGCCCAGCCAGAGGCAGGTCTGGTGTCTCATAATGTCCTATCTTGGAGTTGTTCAGATGCCTCCCTGTCTCCCACCCAGGGCCTGGCGCACATGCTCCTTAGGTTTGTTCTAAAAAATGACAATTTCATTCCCCGGTGTCCCCGCCACCAGGGTGGCAGTCTGCACATACTTTACAAAGCCCTTCACTCATTGGTTTACTGCCCTGTGGGTGGCAGAAGCCAAGTATGGGGTAGCATTTCCCCTGAAGCAGTGTGACTCGCCCCAGGCCTTCGGTCTAGAGGCAGTGGGCCACCCCTTGGTGTCATCATGCAGACACAGTGCAGCGGCAGGGCTCAGAGAGGGGGACCTGCGCTGGGCCAGCCAGGGCTCAGAGCTGGGCTGTGCCGTTGACCAGCTTTGTACCGACAGTCTGTGGCCCCTGCAACAAATCACCACAAACGTGGTGGTTTAAAACAACAAAAATGTATCGCCATACCGTTCTGGAGGTCAGAAGTCCAAGAAGGTCTCACTGAGCTGAAATCGGGGTCTCGGCAGGGCTGTGTTCCTCTCTGGAGGCACTAGGGGAGACTGTGCCTAGTCTTTCCCAGTTTCTAGAGGCTATGTGGACTCCGTGGCTTGTGGCACCCCCATGTGCAAAGTCAGCGACTGCTGGTGGAATTTTTCCCACAAGCAAGGCTCTGATACCAACCCTCTTGCCTCCCTCTTTCACTTAGAAGGACCCTGTGCTGACACTGGGCCCACCGGGACAATCCAAGGTGATCTCCCATCTCAAGACCCTTAATTTAATCCCATCCACAAATCCCTTTTGTGCTTGTCAGGGATTAGGATGTGGTTGTCTGGGGGGTGGGGAGGGAGGGCTGTTATTGTACCTGCTATAGTAACTTCCAGCCTGACCTTGTGCCTCAGTCTCCTCATGTACAAAATGGAGACAAAGTCTCCCCCTTCCATAGGGTTGTTGGGAGAATTGAATTAGTTAATGGTTACAGAGAGCAGAGCCTGGCACCTAGGAAGGGCTCAATAAATATTTGCTCTTAGGGTCATTACTTTCATATTTCAGAAATCACCTGGGATCCCCAGTAGTGGATCTGGGCGGGGGGGGGGGGTTGAATAAAGCTGGTTGAGGGTCAAGTTAGCTGTCTGCTCAGTAAGGACAGCCTTGGCACAGGTGCGTGTGTAAGGGAGAAGGGAGTAGGCTCAGCCATGGAGACCTGCCCGCAGGCAGAGGGATGAGCAGCTCTCCAGCTGAGGGACAGCCCCCCTCCCCGCTGTACCCGGTGCCTCGAGAGGTGGGGCAGCTCTCCAGCTGAGGGACACCTCCCCCCCACTGCCCCCCTCCCCCCCACACACACCACATGCCTTGAGAGGTGTCCTCCCACCAGGAAAGAATCAGGACTTCCTGGAGCCACGGACTCTGAGCTGAGCAGCTCTGCTTTAACTAAGGGTGGTTCCCAAAGCCTGATCCTCTTTCATCTCAGGTGAGAAAATGGAGAATTCATTATAAACTGGGGGTGGCACTTGGCAGGCTATTTCCTAATCTTCTCGATTCCCTAGAAGGAGGACTAGAAGTGTGGAGGGCACATACCTAGATTCTTTGAGAGGCCTCACTCCCCTCCCCTCCCTTCCTAGCTGGGGCAGCACCTACACTCTCCCAGAAGTCAGCACCCTGGCTAGGCTGACGGCACTGGTCTCCCCCTCAGACCCGAGGCTGGAAAACGGCGGAGCTCTGCGAGGGAGGAAAGAGGCAGGCCCCTAGGGCTCAATTACTTCAGCTCCCTGGCAGCCTGAGGGAATCTCAGGCCGGCAGCTGCTGTGCACAGGGCTGGGGCTGGGGCCATGTCGTGAGCCTGGGGGCAGCCGCAGGGGGCAGGAAGCCCAGCCTTTTTCTTGGGCTGGGGAGGGAATTTGTGAGAGCAGCAGAGTGTCCCTGTTCTGGCTCAGGCCCCCGGGGGGGTGCCCTAGTCCCTACACGGCCCAGGGTCTGCCCCTTGCTCTTCTGTAGGTCTTGCAGAGGTGACAGAGGCTGTGGAGGTTAGTCAGAGCTTCGTCCAGCTTGAAGCAGCAGAGAAGCAGCCAGAGTCAGGGATGAGCCAAGGCCTGGGGCAGTTCAGTTCAAGGCCAGGAGGATCCCAGGAGGATGCCCAAGACACAGTCCCAACATCTGAAGAGCTCCCCTTCTGGTGGGGAACAGATGGGCATTACTGCTTAGGGAGCAAGGGCACACTTAAAGAGAGATGCCCCATGCCCTGGGGGTGCAGTCCCCTAGGAGTCAGAGCAGGCCGCTCAGAGGGGGTGCTCCTGCCCAGAAGGGGTGCTCCTGCCCAGAAAGGGTGCTCTTGCTCAGAGGGAGCGCTCACTCTGAGGGGGTGCTCCCGCTCAGAGGAGGTGCTCTTGCTCAAAGGAGTACTCCTGCTCAAGGCTGGGCGGGGGGTGCTCCTGCTCAGAGGGGGTGCACCTGCTGAGGAGTTTCTTGAAGGAAGGGGAGGAGGAGAGCATTAGGTGGAGCACGTACAAAGGGCAGGAAACAGTTCGAGGAGCCATGCCCGCATCCTCAGCGTCCGTGTGTCCTGACAAGGTATATTAAGTTTGGACAGCAGAACACTCCTTCAGAGAAGTCCTAGGCCAAAGGTGAAAAGCCTTTGGGGAAGCAGGGGAGAAAACTGGGAGCCCCGCCGCCAGGGCTTTTCTCCTTCCCCAGGAGGTGGGCCCTGAAGAACAATTTCTAAATCCCACCTCCCTCTGCCGGGGCTAAGGACTGCATGCCCACACGGCTGTGGATAAAAACCTGTGGTCTGGGGGTCTTCCTCCTTGCCCCCCCAGGACGGACCCTATGTGGAACTCTGCTAATGGTTTGATGTCAGCTGTCTGGTCCCCAAAGGGGCTGCTGAGCAGGGCAGGTGTCCGGCTGCAAGTGCCTGGGAGGGGAGAGGTTGGCAGGGCCTGGGCATAGCCCCAGGGTGTCCCCTTGGAGCCCCTGCCTCGTTGATCTGGCAGCACTGGCATGGCATGACACCCGCAAGGGCAGGACCCTCAGGCCGTAGTGGCCTGACCGGCCCACTGCACATGGCTTTCCTTGACCTCCGCGCCACGCTGTTCAGTATGCTCATCATGTGCACCATCCTGACCAACTGCGTGTTCATGGCCCAGCACGACCCTCCACCCTGGACCAAGTATGTCGAGTGAGTATCTTCAGGGCCTCTGTAGCTGGCCCCTCCATCCCTTCCTTTCCATTACATACCCCTGAAGTGGCCCCTGAAGTCACCCCAGAAGTCCCCAGCGGGACTCACCCACCTGGAAGGTCCGTGGCCCAGCCCCTTCCCTCTCTGGCCGCTCCTGGTCCTGCCAGCTTCTTGCCTTGAGCGGTGGCCTCAGGGGCGGAAGCTCTCCAGGTTGGCCAAGTGGGAGATTCCTTCCTGACCCACCCTAAACAGCACTGAGCACATTGAGGAAGGCTCCGAAATAAAATCCTGATAATTTATCGAACACTTAGTGTGTGCCAGGCACTGGCGTGGAACAGTAAGCCTCATCTCCTTTGACCGTCCGGGTAGCCCAATAGGGTGGGGACAGCCACTATCCCCCTTTGACAGACAGGAAGCTGGAAACTGGAGGCGCACCTTGTCCAGTAGGGCGTGGCCGGGGGCTGTGGCTGCCGGGCAAGGCCCAGGGCTGTCCCCACTTCACAGCCATCTCTGCTGCCTCCTGGGACCATTTGCTCAGTTTCAGAAAACTGCTTCCGGCCCATCCTTCTCAAATGAAAGTACCTTACCCACGAGTTTTAAACCCAATAGGCCCTTGGGGCGTTTGGTGCCTGTTTTCAGGGACCCGACGAAATGTCAGGGACAGCCTCTCTTACCAAAGTGGCTCGCCTTGTGGCTCTCTGTGTTCGCCCAGGACCCACAGCATCATCAGTGCTGCGGGGATGACAGTGGGCCACGGTCCCGGCATCTAGGCATCCGGATTCTTCAGGCCACCCCTCCCAGCCTCAGGCGTTAGAACCTCAGCCCCCTTTCCGAGAGCAAGGTAGACAGCTATACCCACCTACCTATAGGTAGTTGAGAATGGACCATGCTCCTGTCACTAGCTGCTGAGGACCCACCAGCAAGGGTGAGGGAGTGACATGATCTGAGTGTCCTTACAGGCCACCATATGCCCGTGTGCATGGCCCCCGAGGCTGGGGTGAGGAGAGAAGTCGAGGGTCTTCTTACACCAAGACAAGCAAGAGGGAAAATGGAAAGTTCAGAAGGGCACATGGTGGGCGCTCAGCAATGCTGAGCAAACACGTGCAGAGATGCAGTAATTAGTCCAATGTTTGGCCCAAGGCTCCAGCTGTGCCAAGGGGCGTGGCCGAGGGTCCGGTCTGAGGGCTCCTTAAGAGCGGAGCTGTACAGGGCTCATGCATGCATGTGAGGAACCCAGCCAACCTGGCCTGCGGGCTGCAGCCTCCCTGAGAAACCTTGCGGGTCTCTCCCCCCAGGTACACCTTCACTGCCATTTACACCTTTGAGTCTCTGGTCAAGATTCTGGCTCGAGGCTTCTGCCTGCATGCGTTCACCTTCCTCCGGGACCCATGGAACTGGCTGGACTTCAGTGTGATTGTCATGGCGTAAGTACCTTGCTCTCTGTGCCGTCCCGTGCCACGCCAGGCTGTAGTCAGGGACGTGTGCATCTTCCCTGGCCCTGGGCCCCCCGCTGCAGTCTGCAAGTGGCTATAGAGCAGCCCACCTTACTGCTATGGCAAGAGGAAGACAGGATGGAGCCCCCCAGCTCCTCCTGGTGGGCCACGGAGGTCAGGCCCAGCTGTGGCCCCATGGCAGCCCTGTGTTCCAGGGACATCATTACGATTCTCGCTTAGCGTCCTCTGCCCTTTCCACTGCGGGAAACCAGTGTTACAGCCCAAAACTTCTGGACCACTGTGAACAATGACCTGGATTCCAAGGTGATTAAGAATGAATCACCGGGAAAGAGAAGGAGCCTGGAGACATGACCGGGCATCCCCAGGAGCCCATGCCAGGCACACCAGCGCGTCCACTCTCTCCACTCACGGACTCCACATTTGGCACATTCTAAGGCACCCAGTCACTGACATGATCCAGTGAGGTATCCTGGATGGGGAGGTATCCTGGATGGGGATTCCTTGTCCCCATTTTACAGATGACAAAACAGATGCCAAGGACACCCAAGGAGCCTACCAGAGAGTGAATGTGAATATCTCTGGCCTGCTGCCATGCAGGCTGGGGCCCCGCTTCCTTGTCTAGAAAGAGATCCTTGCTGAGGTTGGGTTGAGGCATTCCCCTTGGGATGACTGAGTTCTGTGGTGGGATGCTGTGTTCTGGTGGTGACGACTGATCAGGGTGGGCCTTGTGTGCAGGAGTTGTGGCCCGGGCTCAGCCAGCAAACCCAGGATGGGCCCCACACCTTGGCAGGGAGCAGAGCTGGTGAGGGCAGTACTTCTGCCCTTGCAGAGCCTCCTCTCCCTGACTTGTGGAAGGACGGTGTTGGCCTTGGTGGTATCAAAGGTTCAGTTCAGCACCCGCTTTCTAGGATTCTTGGATTCACTGAATCCGCCTGTTCGTGAGTGACGAGGTCTGCTTCACCCCAGACATGAGCAGCCCTAGCTATGCGCTCAGCCACGCTGTGGGGAAGAGAGGGGAGAAGGGGCAGCCAGACCCTGATGCTGGGCTGCTTCCCAGCTAGATGGAGAGTCTGGTGGTTAGAAAATGCATCAGGACCTCTGTTTCTGGGTGCGCTGCTTGTGAGCTGACTCCAGCCCATCGTTTTACAGGTGGGGTAACTGAGGCTCTGAGAGACGCTGCCACTTGCCCAAAGCCAATGTAGACTTAGGCCTGGGCAGAGCTGAGTGAGCAAGGGAGAGTATAGCAGGAGAGAAGGCAGAGTGGTGGGGGATAGCCCCATGGCCTTGCAGGCCGTGGTGAGAGCCCAGGGTGATGGGAGCCGTCGGCGGTTGAGAAGCAGGGAGTAACGTGACCTGAGCTATATATTATAAGTTTGCCCGGCAGCTGGGGGGCTATTTTAGTAGCCAGGAGAGAGATGGTGGTGGGGACTAGAGTTTAAGTAGAGAAGCTGAGGGACATGGTCAGATTCTGAATGTACTTTGAGGGTAGGGCTGACAGGAGACCCCCAGGTGGGCTTGGCTTGAGCAGCTGGGTGAACAGGGTTACCGTTCGTTGAAATGGAGGATGAGGGAGGAGCTGGCTGAGGGAGGGAGGCAATCAAGAACCCAGATTGGACTGCATTAGGTTTGAAAGCATCCAGAGTGAGATATGGAGCAGGCAACTGGATATTCCAGTCTGGAGTTCAGGAAAGAGGTCCGAGGTAGAGATATATATTTAGAAGCCATCAGGGTACAGATGAGACTTGCAGCCAGGAGACCGGATGAATGAATCATCTAGAGTGAGCGTGGCCAGAGAAGGGACGGTGCCTGGGGACGGCACCACAGGATGCTCCAACATCTCGAGGTCAGGAAAGAAGGGGTGAGCCAAGGAGCCTGGAGGGCACCGCCATGGGAGGTGGAGGAAAACCTGGACGGAGGACTGTCCTGAAAGCCAGCTGAGGAGCGTGACTCCACTTGAAAGATGCCCTGAGGAGGCTGAAGAAATCCAAGGCACAGTCCATGGCAGTCTGAGACGTGACACCGATGACCTTGACGCAGCTAATGACCGTGACACCACTGATTGCCTTGACCAGGCATGGGGGGACAGACACCTGATTAGACAGGGCTCAAGGGACTGGGGCAAGTATAGACATGCACTTTGCGGGGTTAGCTGTAAACCAAACTGAAAATGGGTTGCTGGGGGTGGGGAAGATGGGCAGAGCAGCATCATTCAAGAAGGGAGATGTCTTTGTAAAGGGACACGATCCAGGCAGGAGGGCAGCTTGATGATGGAGGGGGGTGAGTTGCAGGAGCAAAGCCCTTGAGCTGGCCTGAGGGCTGGTAAGCTAGGGCCCACGTGGAGGATTGGCCTTCAGAGCAGGGAAGGCAGAATTTCAGGTGGGTTGGGAAAGTTGGTAATGAAAGAAGAGAATTTCTCTTCTGATTGCTCCTATTTTCTCCACGGTAAGAAGCGTGATCATCAGCTGAGAACACGGAGTAGGGAGGCTCCTATTCTCGAGGAGGGAAGGAGACCTCTCCGTGCAGAGCCAGGACGTTGCACTGACTTCGGAAGGGGGCAGGATTATTATGCCAGGCCCAGGCTCCAGTGTCCCTACAGGAGGGGAGCAGTGCTCCTTGGGCTCCCGGGGGCCTGGTGTCACAGGAAGGGGGCTTTGGCAGGACAGGACACAGCGTCTGTCTGCGTCTGTCCTACCTTCCCATTCTGGAGCCCAAACAGGACTGTGTCACAGCAGTGATGCTCCCAGACCCTGTGTCCCTTGCCTAACAGGAGGTCTCTGGGAGATGCTCTGAATGACCTCAGGCCCTTAGTGAGTCCTGCTGTCTTATCCCAGGAGAGAATCCCTGTCTCGATCCCATGGAATCACACAGGGAACTGCTTCTTCCACTTGGAATCACAGAGCAGGTGTGCCTTCCTCACCGAGGCCTGCCTGCCTGCCTTCGTTCCATACCAGAAAGAGGGGTGACAAAGCAGAACAGAGCCTCAGAGGCCAGCAGACTATTTCCAAGTTCCTGAGCATCTCAGGGAAATGGCACTCACTTCCCCTGGGGCCGCATGGACCCACTGGAATGTCAGGTTTTCTGCTATGGGCTGGATTGGCCTGGCAGCTTTGATTGGCGGTGGCCCTGCCTTATGAAAACGATGCTGCCCTGGTAATGCGGTGAAATGCATCCTGCTATAGTCAAAATGGCTCCATAACGGGGGGTGGGGGGGTGCTCCTAGAATAATTGGAGGAGCTTTGGGTGGCAGAAATGGTTGATTCGCTGAAACTCCCCATCCTCCATTTTACAGATGGGGAACTGAGGCTCCAAGAGAGCCTACCTCTTGCCCAAATTTGTGGAATGAATCAGCAGCGGTGCTGAAACTAAAACAGGTCCCCTTACTTGAGAGGCGCACCAGGTCTACGGTTTCCACCTGATCCCCCACCCACTCAATGTAGGGGTTGTAGGAGGGTCCGAGTTGCCAGGAGGCCTGCCAGGCAACCCTCCAGCCAGTGTTCTTCCCGGGGGCCCCTCCTGGCTGGGCATTACCTGCCCGTTAGCACAGCCTCCCACCTCCTGGGGTTGTTATGGAAACCGAACCTGGAGGGGAAGGGAGGGAGGGCAGAGAGGAGAGGGTGGGCTGTACCTCTGCCCAGCAGCCTAGGAGGCACCATCTGCATTGAATAGCAGGGCTGCAAGGGAAGATGGGGGTGGAGCAGGAGGAGGTCTGCCCTTCCCCTGGGGTCCTCAGCTTCCAAAAGGGCTTCCCCCCTGCCCTGGGGCTGGTGTGATGGATGGGATGCTCCCTCACCAACCTCTGCTCTTTCGGTGTCAGGCCCGGGGTCCACCAGCCCAGCTGTCTGCCCCTGCCCAGCAGCTTGGCTAGAGCAGAAGGAGTAGAATGGCTTGGAGGAACATTTTGCCAGCCTGACAGGGGCAAAGCTCTACCCCCAACCCAGCCACTGCCGACGCTGGCCCTTTGCCAGTTACAGGGTCTCTGACCACGCATCCCGGGGCCCCAAGAGAAGCCTCATTGGGAATCTAGGGCCCACACGTGGGAAGCAACCAGGCCGAAGGCTCTGAATCAGGTAAAAGGGCAGCGGTCCCCATGTCACAGCCATGGTCACGGACATGCAGAGCCCTCACCCAGCCCTGCATCTCACCTTCGAGACTTCCTTCTCCTCAGCATTGCTCTCCCGCACATGTCCTGACTTCACACACGACCACCAGCCCCACACACCTGTTCTCAGCCACTCGGCTGGCCTTGCAAGCCTGCTGGGAGCACACACCTCGGGATCTTGGCTCCTCTGTGCTCAGCACCAGCTGCTGAGGAGGTGGACCATGAATGGAGGGCAAGCCTGAGGGTGTGGGAAGGCGAGTTCTACACGGGGACAGGCAGAGACAGGCAGAATCCAAGCTTCAGACGGGCAGGGCTTCCCTGAAGACGTGAGGAGACAGACGGGGTCGGTGAGGGACGAGAGAAGCAAGGACAGTTGTTGGTTCCCTCTGATCTGCACAGCGCTCTACTCACTCCCTGTGACCACAAGAGACAGTCTTGAAGCCAGTGTCCTGAAAAAGAGAACCTGTCGTCCCAGGCCACACTTATATGTCCGGCAGCAGGAAATGGGGCCCAGAGCCACCAGCAGGCTGGACCCGTGGCTTGTGTGTGATGGCAACATCAGCAGTGTTGAGGCAGCACCATATCTGGATGGAAAATAAAGCCTGAAAGAAGAATGTGGGACAGAGGTTTGAGGATCTGAGTCATCACAGAGGATGGAATAGCCATTAAAAGTAAAGAGGGAGCTTGGACCAAATTAATAGGTGTATTTGGGCCAGAATAAGGGAGGTGACTTCTACTCCCCATTGGAAGTTTACAAGCTGAAGTGAGTCCAGGGGAAGAACGGAAACCACACCACAAAAAGGATCTGGTGTGCCAGAAGAAAAGCTCTGAGAATGTGTCTGCTGACTTCTCATCTCTGAAGGGATGTGGTGAGTAAGGAGGGAGCAAGCATGATCCACAGGGCCCCGTGAAGATGGAAGGGCCCCATGCGTGGACATGAGGAATCTGGTGTCAGCCCAGCGTCAGTTAGAGCTGGACGAGGCAGGATCCGGCTGACTCCAGGACACTGAGTCCCTTGACATAGCCTATCCACAGCTTGGAAGCAGACTCAGAAGCTCTGAGCAGAGTGGAAGGGCCTGGAGGTCCAGACTAACCAGCAGAGTGAGTCCAGCTGCATGATTATCCCACCCTTGGCACTTAATCCAGCTTCACTGGTCTGCCGTCCTGGGTCCGATGTCACTCAGACACCAGGTACGACACACCTGGTTAAAAATCAGACATCCTGAGTCCACCAACCTTTGTTAAACATCAGACGCCTTCGCTTAAATGTCAGATACCCTGGATGTGAAATCGTTGGTTAAATATCACAAGTCACTTGCCACTGTCCCGATGGTCCCGGTCACACACTGTCCACGCAGCTCTTAGACATCCTGGTCACGTGGCCCATCCACGCACATCCTCACACTCTGCTCGGGCAGTCCCCTGCCCCCCAGAGACGGACTCCTACCTCCTGTGACTGTGAAGACCACGGACGGATGACGGTCTGAGTTGTAGGTTGGAACGTCTCGGCCATTCAGCCCTGCTGAGTGTCACTCGGGCGCAAGCAGACCTAGAGGGCTGCTCACTCCTGAGGTCCCTCCTCCTGTGAAGACCCAGGGCCATCCTTGGGGGTCTCCAGAGGTCTTGGGATGAGACTGAGGGGGAGTCGGCCCTCGGAGACCTAGCTGCGCCTCCATGAGGGTCTCAACCAGGGCTTGAGGATCCACAGATCAGGGCAGCCAGGAACGAGCTGATCACAGACGACAGAAGATGCAGAGCAAAGCTGGGACCAGAATCCCCCTTGGCTCCTCTGTCACCCGGCCATCAGGAGAACCTCGCTGAGAGAGCCGCCTCCCGTGTGGGGGCTTCCTGTGTGGACATCCTTAAATCATCTCGCCAAGGGTCTGGTGTCAGGAGGGTGGAGAGGAGGAAGAGAACACAAGGGAGCCCCGGGCCATCCGCAGCCCTCCCTGTGGGAGCGGGAGAAGGGAGTGGGTGGGTCGGGGAGGGCAGGCTGAGGTGCTGCTTTGTAATTCCCAATAACTGTGGTTTGATTCTGCAGGTATGTATCAGAAAATATAAAACTAGGCAATTTGTCGGCTCTTCGAACTTTCAGAGTCCTGAGAGCTCTAAAAACTATTTCAGTTATCCCAGGTAAGATGCCCAGATTTGCCTCTCAGATCTCAGCTACAAGTGACTCTCTCTCTGTCTCCCCTCCCCCCCAATCTTTTGTCTCCTACTGGCGTGTTGTCACTGTGTCGTGTGTGACTTTCCCTTGTTACAGATACACAACTGAATTTGTGGACCTGGGCAATGTCTCAGCTTTACGTACCTTCCGAGTCCTCCGGGCCCTGAAAACTATATCAGTCATTTCAGGTGAAAAATCAGGTTAAACGCCAAGGCTGGAGGGACACACTCAGGCCTTCCCAGCCAGCTGGGCCCAAGGCGACCCTTGGGAAGGCCCCTCCGAATGTGCCTGTCACCAGAATACCTTTCCCAGAGCTCGGCTGTGGGGGCTGTCAGCGGCGGACACGGCTGTCCCCTCAGAGCCTCATGAGGGGCTTCGGGCTGTCCCCCCATCAAAGCCCACCCTCACAGACGCCGGGGGGCACACAGCTCCCATGGCAGGTCCTGGATTGAACCCCAAATTCTTCCCAAGATGGTGAGGTCCTTCCCAAACCGAACTCAGCGCTTTGAATAGCTAAAAGCTTGTATGTGAATTGCTTCAGCTAGAAGCATCATCCTCCGATAAGGAAACCAAAGAACTAAGTTTGAGGGAAACCACACGCGCACGCACACACGCCCAGAATAAAAAAGGGAAACTCGGGCTGAGCGCCCAGTCCCTGCATTGTGCCCCCTCTGGTAACAAAGGCACAGCCTCCTTTTGTGAAACAGAGTGTACTCTGCGGACAGGTGTCATCGGGCCTTGGCGTCTACCAGCCCTCGCTGCATGGTGCGGTAGAGGTGTAGCGGACAGTGCATGGTAGCCTCAGGAAGCAATTCTCCTTGACAGATGTTGGCAATTGCACCCGGGAAGTCTAAGCTCGGACGGCCTCTCTAGAAAGCCGGCCTACCCCCATCCATCCAGGAAAGCTCTCAAAAGGCTTATGATGATTTCACAGCCCACAGGGCAGTGCCCGGAGGTTCCTTCCAGAGCCTTTTCTGAATGCAGCCACACTCAGAACTGGAGAAGGCACTTCTTTTAAGAAGGCGGCAGGAGACAGGCTGTATACCACGGATCTGGGGAAGTGTCAGAGCTGAGGGAAGAGTTCAGTGAAGCAGATCGTTACATCCACTCCTGATTTGGAAAGCCGTAGGTCCTGGGCCCTTGATCGCCATGATCTCCCCAGGAAGGCAAGGGCCCTGCTCTGAGCTCCTTGGAGGAGTTCAGACTCTCCCTTGGTGGGCTTAATTATAAGAGGAACCCCATCCACTTATGCCATGTTCAAACTGAGCCTCAGAATGTACCTCCTGGCCTCTGAACCCCATAGGATGTGCTCCCCACAAGTGGCCCAGACCCCTGCTAAGAGCCAGTAGCAAGTGGGGCAGTCTGCCCCCAGTGTACCGAGTCACCGCCATTGAGACAGGCATTGTCCTGGCCTGGGTGTGCGCATACATGCTTAGAAGCCTCAGGGTCTGTCCTCTAGGGTCCCGGGGACAACCTCACCTCATCCACCCACAAGATTAGAGAAGCACACTGACCACAGCAGTTGAGAAAAGGCATGTTCCAGTCTGTTTTATAAAAAAGGCTAGCAAAGGAAAATATTCCTCAGTCCTGGAGTAAAGGAGGAAGCCCGCCAGCCTCAACCCAGGCCCACTGGATCTCTTCAGAGCTGCCAGGAACCCAGTGAGGAAGCAGACAGCAGACCCTGAAAGTGGTCATTAGAAAAATGCTGTGGTCAGCATTATGGAAGTCTCCCCGGAGGAGGTGTCCCCTGAGCTGACGCTTAAAGAGCCTTGGCCCTCTCCAGACCTCGGTCTCCTCTCCCACAAAACGGGAATGAAATCCAAATGGTTGGTTTCCAAGGGCTCTTCACCCAGCCTGTTAGAACTTCAGTGGCAGGAGAGTTTCCCAGCCGATGCCCAGGACCCTTCCCTTCTTGGGTCCTTTCAGAAAGAATCCTGTTAACTTCACTGGACTCATTCTTGCCAGAAGTGAACTCTGTCATCAATATGAGAAATATCTAAAGGACTGGATCTGTGCTCACCAACTGATTGTCCCCCTGGACGCTATGTCCACAGGCCAGGAAATGATTCGCTGGGCCTTGAACTGGATGCTAGTTGAGGCAGAGTCTGCTGCCCACCACCTCTTACCCTGTGTTCCCTGCCACATACAGTACGGGCAGGGTCTCCAAGCCTGGTGAGCAGAACCAGAGTGGGCTCCCTGAGGGGGTCCTAGAAGCTCTGCTAGAGATGAGGTGTGCTGGGCTACAGAATGGGGATCCCACCAACACCACCACTCCAGGCCCAGACCCCTGCAGGGTCCACGCCTGCCCAGGGCAGTTGCCAACATCTGCCGGGACGATTCCCACAGAGCACGCTGAGTGCCTCTGAGCTGCGGGCAGGCAGCAGCGCTGGTGACACAGTGGGGGACTTCCTCCCCCCCTCCCGTGGTTGCCCATCGCTGCCTCCCTGTCTCGAGGTCATGGGCACGGAGCTGTGGGCACGGCCACCACGGGTGCTCCTAACACATTAACCAGCTGGACGATGGATGGATGGATGGAGCTTAATCTGAGATCTGGCCGCTTTGATGGGGGGGGAATGGGGGCGGGAGGCTGGGCTCTGCTGCTGGCAGAGAAGCCCCCTCGCTCCGGATGCTCTGCTCAAACTTGTCGTAGGACAGTAGCTCAGTGTCAGACCAAAGGCGTCTACACGTGCTTTTCTGTCACTTTCGCTTTGTGGTGCTGGCTTCTGCAGGGAGCTGGGCCGTGCAACTAACACATCACGGCCTCTTGGCTTTGGGGAATGGGATGGAAGGGGATGGGTCCCGGAGGGACAGGGCAGGGGAGAAAAATGCAAAATAGGTCAAGCCCTCCCCTGCCCTTGAAGTTTTTCCAAAAGTGGGGCCCTAGCCAGAATAGACCCTTTAGGACATTACCCACCATGACCTTGCCAGACCTCCTGATAGCCCCCATCCCCCAAGCACACACCACAGTCCTCTACCAGGAATGGCTTGTGTCTCCCCATCTCCAGGATCAAGGCAGACCCTCTCCCATTGCCCTGGAATGGGCCTGGACCTCAGTGTCCTTCCCACAGGTTACATTTAAAGGCATACCTTGGGACCAGCCAGACGGGGACAGGCTTTGAGTGTTTTCTTCCTCAGGAAGCCAGCATTTCCCATACCCATTTCATATATGTGGCTAGTGGAGAGCAAAGAGGCCTGGGCCCTTCGAAAATACATGGCCAGACTGGACCTCTGCCCCCGGAGGAATCAGGACAGAATCTCAGTAATGGAGAAAATGGGAGCTTTGGTCTGAAAGGCCCGAGAGAAAAGGCCTCCTTCACCTGTCCCCACCTCATGATTGCCCACCTGGCCCAGCACCCCCTCAGGCCTGGCCCCCACCCAGTGGAGCAGGGAGCACAGGACCTGTGGATGACCCCCCTGCTCGTTCTTGTCTTCCCCAGGTCTGAAGACCATCGTGGGGGCCCTGATCCAGTCTGTGAAGAAGCTGGCCGATGTGATGGTCCTCACGGTCTTCTGCCTCAGCGTCTTTGCCCTCATCGGCCTGCAGCTCTTCATGGGCAACCTGAGGCACAAGTGTGTCCGCAACTTCACGGCACTCAATGACACCAATGGCTCTGTGGAGGCCGACGGCCTGGTCTGGGAGTCCCTGGACGTCTACCTCAGCAACCCAGGTGCAGGCTCACTGTGTGGCCCCGAGCAGGGCTTTATGAGGCCACGCGGGCCTCACCAGAGGGCAGATCTGCCCCCAACGGCCATTCTAGCCCTACCCGGGCCCCTGGAGACCCAGAGGTGTGCTCGGGGATCCCAGCGCCTGCTTTTTGGAACTCCAGGAGAGGACAAAGGGGAGGGGGCTTTGGGCCTGCCCTCATGACTTCTCAGGCTAGATGGCCAGACACTTGGGGAACAGGAAGGATGGACTTAGCTGGAAAGGCACACAAGGAACGGCAGCTGCCGTGGCTAGAGGCGGGGACAGACCCTAGAGAATCGGGCATGGGGAGAAGACCAGCCTGCCTACCCAGAAAGGAGTGTCAGCTGGAGAAAGGGTGGGACACGGGGCTGGGGTAGTTTGTGAGGCTTCAGAACGAAGGCCCCACCTGCGTGGCACAGGATGTTTCAGTCGACTTTGGTGTTTCTTGCCAGGATGTTAATTCCATGCGCGTGCCCCCCAAAGCCCCGAGAGAGGGTCAGAACTAGCTCAGTGATTACACAAAATCACATGAACCCCTCCTGTCATTTCACAGATACGTGGTTTTCTATTGTCCAGGCTGATGGCCAGCACCTCTCTTAACTAGTACCATCAGTCTGGTTCAAAGGTAGACACCGGTGCAAGGCCAGATTCCAGGCCACAAGGACCTCCAGGGACATTCTGAAGTTAGGGCCTCTTCCCTACACCAGCAGTCCCCTTTGGAAAAAGAAACAGACCACAGCTCACTGATTCAATTTGCTTATGGTTCAGCTGTGGCCAAATAGCAATGGTTCTAAAACTTCCATGTGTACCAGTCACCTGGAGGGCTCCAGAAAGCCCACACTGCTGGGCGGCAACCCCAGGGGTTCCTGAGTCAGTAGATCTGGGGCGGCACTCGGGAAGTTACCTTTCTCACCAGGTCCCAGTTGACGCCTGCTGCCGCTGGCCTGGGGAACCACAGTTTGAGAACTAAGGCGGGTAGTGGTGGGGGATGGGGACTGACAGATGGCCAGAGGGGAGAGGACAGGACTGGGTGTCCCATATGTCACCTGGTCCAGCCCCAGCCCTGTCTGAGCAGACCACGGTACTGCCACAGTGACTGTAGCTTGTATCGCTTGCACGAAGAAGTGGGCCCAGACGGAGCTGAGCAGTAGCCTGCCAAGACCATGCCGTGGCTCATAGCTGAGCTGGGTCTCTGCCCAGACCCCTGCCTCCTGGTTCAGGGCCTCTTTTGGCCCAGGCTGTCCTCCTGAGTAGCTTGGGGCAGGGCACAGAGGCTCCCTGTGGGGACTTCCTGAGTGTTCTGGGAGTGTGGGGGATGCTAGCAGCTGAACGTCTGATGAGGAGTAGGAAGCAGGCCAGAGAAGCAGCTGGAATTGCCTCAGGCCTGGCCAGGCAGAGGGTAGGGGCCAGGGCAGGGCCAGAGAAGAGACCACCAGTGGCGTCTCTACCTCCCCAGAGCCCTGGGCGCCATGCGGGAACCCCGGGAGTCTGGGCCACACACGTGCCCTTCACGGTCGGTTTTTCCTCTTTCAGAAAATTACTTGCTGAAGAACGGCACCTCCGATGTGTTACTGTGTGGGAACAGCTCTGATGCCGGGTATGTGGCACCCGCCCCCCCAGGGCCACCTCACCCAGCAGGGGTGAGGTGAGGTGAGGCGAGGGCGGCAGGGGAGGGCCCCCACCCGGTGCTTTCTCAACTGACTGTGCTTTCAGTTTATGCCCTTGACCCCAGGCCTTCCCCTGCCTCTGTTCCCTGCTAGGCCCCTGGCATCTTGTCCACCCCACCCCCACCACAGCGGAGACAGCTCTGACGTGGTGAAGGAATGAGGGCTCGGATCTGCAGGGGGCGCGAACAGAGCGCACAGGGCCTCCTGCCAGCCCAACCCTGGCTCCGTTCCTTTGCAGAAGCCCCCCAGGGCTGCCCCCTCCCCCTCCAGTCTTCACTTCCTCCCTACCCATCTGTCCACTGGGTCAGGAGTGAGTATGGCTTCCCCCAGCAGCCTAGACTCTCCTCCAGGGCAAGCAGAGCCTGCACCTGCAGCCCGAGTGTGGTGCCCAGAGATGCCCCATAACCACATGCGGCTCCCAGGGCCCTGGGGCCCTGTGCGTAAAGGGTCTGGATCAGTGTGACCATGCCACAGTTGTTAGGGGGAGGGCAGGACACCCAGGCTCACCTGGTGAGGGAGGGGCTCTGTGGGGCTACAGTCCCACATCTCTCGGTATGAGGTTCCAGCCCTTCTTGTCGCTAAAGAGATTGGAGGGTCTTAGGACATGAGCGAGGCACAGAGGCTGCGTCCTCCCACTTGCCGAGTCCCCTGCCCCCCACCTTCTGTCTCTCACACTCATGAAGCCAGCCCAGTGGTCCATCTTTGGGAGAGAGGCTGTCCCATCCAGCTCTGGGAACCATCAGTCCGCCTCACTCTGCCTGTGTGCACAGTCATGCAAATGGGCATGTTCTCCAGACGTGGCCAGACCCCAGCCTGTCCACCCCAGCATCGTTCCTCAACCCCATGGCCTGGTATTTGCCCTGGGCTCCCTGCTCTTCAGCTCCATGCTGTTCAAGCAAGCCTCGCTGCCCTCCCTCCACCGCATGTCAGCTCTGTGCCCATCTCCTTGTGGGGTAGGCAGCCAGAGGAAAAGACTGTGAGCCAGGCCCTTGGCACTTCCTCTGTGAGGGCAGAGGCAACTCACATATCAGTGGGCATAGGTATCATGTGGGCAGAAGGGAGCTGGACTTAGGCCTAGCTGAATACAGATGGGTAGAGAAAAGGCGAAGACCGTGTCCCAGGCGGGAGGCACGGCATGAAAAGTCATGGCAGCAGGACCAGCAGCGTGGCCCTAAGTTCGTGAAACTCAGCCTCATGAAGCCGTGGGGCATAGCTGGGCTGCCCAGGGGGATGAGTCAGGCCCAGGGAGCATCTCGGGTTGGGGGGAGGGGCTCACAGCATGGGACAGAGTCTGTGTGTCTGACTGCAGGACATGTCCCGAGGGTTACCGGTGCCTAAAGGCAGGGGACAACCCTGATCACGGCTACACCAGCTTCGACTCCTTCGCCTGGGCCTTCCTTGCGCTCTTCCGCCTAATGACGCAGGACTGCTGGGAGCGCCTCTACCAGCAGGTACATGGGTGCCCAGGCAGAGGAGGAACACCAGGAACAGGCTAGGGACCCACATCAGGGACCAGGATGCACAGGTGAATTAGCCAGAAGTGGCCCCAGCAGCTTCTCTACTGGCAAGAGCTGAGGCTCAAGGAATAAGGGACAGGGACCCTTGCATCTGAGGGATGAGACACAGCGAGCAAAGAAACTTTCTTTTTGCTGGCAAACAAGTACCCATCCCTCTATATGGGATACTCTGTGCTCTGTGAGTGCAACACTTCACCCTATGTGATGGAATAGTCCCCTCTATGCATGCAACATTTCCTCTGTTGACTGGAACATTCTGCCTCCCTCTATGGGTGGGACACCATGCTCTGCGTGTAGGTCATTCTTCTCTATAGGTTAGAACACTCACCTCTGTAGATAGGATATGCTCTGCTCCCTCCCCAGGCTGTGACCATTTGAATCCTTGGCACAGCCAGACTGGACAACTTGAAATTCCATGACCATGACCTAGAAGGGACCCCAGTGAAGATAACCTCTATTGCCTTACTCCCCCAGACCCTGAGATCTGCAGGGAAGATCTACATGATCTTCTTCATGCTTGTCATCTTCCTGGGCTCCTTCTACCTGGTGAACCTGATCCTGGCTGTGGTTGCCATGGCCTACGAGGAGCAAAACCAAGCCACCATCGCTGAGACCGAGGAGAAGGAAAAGCGCTTCCAGGAGGCCATGGAGATGCTCAAGAAAGAGCATGAGGTGGGTGAGCAGTGCAGCCAAGGAGCCTCCAATCCAAGCCTTCTCCTATCTGTGGGTGCCTGTAAACCTGGTGCCTATAAACCTGGTACATGCTGGGTAAAACTGGTGCCTGCTGGGTAAAGCTGATATCTGTAAATGTGGCATCTGCTGGATAAAAGGCAGGTCCTGCTGGGTAAAGCTGGTGCCTATAACACTGCTGCTTGCTGGGCAAAGCTGGTGCCTGTGGGCATGGAACCTGCTGAATAAAGCTGCTACCTGTAAGTATGGTGCATGCTGGGTAAACCTGGTGTCTGTGACTGTGATGCATGCTGGGTAGAGCTGGTGCCTGTGAGCATAGCGCCTGCCGAATAAAGCTGGTACCTGTAAGCATGGTGCATGCTGGGTAGAGCTGGTGCCTGTGAGCGTGGCACCTGCCAAATAAAGCTGGTACCTGTCAGCATGGTGCATGCTGGGTAAAGCTGGTGTCTGCGACTGTGATGCATGCTGCGTAAAGCTGGTACCTGTAAGCGCGGTGCCTGCTGGGTAAAGCTGGTGTCTGCGACTGTGATGCATGCTGGGTAAAGCTGGTGCCTGTGAGCCTGGTGCCTACAGAATAAAGCTGGTACCTGTAAGCATGGTGTGTGCTGGGTAAAGCTGGTGTCTGTGACTGTGATGCATGCTGGGTAAAGCTGGTGCCTGTGAGCATGGTGTGTGCTGGGTAAAGCTGGTGTCTGCGACAGTGACGCATGCTGGGTAAAGCTGGTGCCTGTGTGCATGATGCCTACAGAATAAAGCTGGTACCTGTAAGCGTGGTGTGTGCTGGGTAAAGCTGGTGTCTGCGACTGTGATGCATGCTGGGTAAAGCTGGTGCCTGTGAGCATGGTGTGTGCTGGGTAACGCTGGTGTCTGCGACTGTGATGCATGCTGGGTAAAGCTGGTGCCTGTGAGCATGGCGCCTACAGAATAAAGCTGGTACTTGTAGCATGGTGCGTGCTGGGTAAAGCTGGTGTCTGTGACTGTGATGCATGCTGGGTAAAGCTGGTACCTGTAAGCGTGGTGCATGCTGGGTAAAGCTGTTGTCTGTGACTGTGATGCATGCTGCGTAAAGCTGGTACCTGTAAGCGTGGTGCGTGCTGGGTAAAGCTGGTGTCTGCAAGTGTGGCATCTGCTCTATGAAAGGCAGTTCCTGCCGGGTGAAGCTGGCATCTGCTGGGTGAAGGTATTTTATGTGAATGTGGTGTCTGCTAGGTAAAACTTTGGTACCTGGGTAAAGACAGTGCCTGTTCATGAGGTGCCTGCTAGGTAAAAGTCGTGCCCACGGGGTACAGGTGGGTGCTGTGAGTGTGGTGCCTGCTGAGGAAAGTGTACCCTATGACCATGGTGTCATCTGAGAGAAAATGGTGCCAGCTGACTAAAAATGGTGCCCACTGGGTAGAGGTGGTGGCTCCTGCTAAAGTAAAGGAGCCTAGTGCATGCTGGATAAAAGAGAACCACATGTCCATGGACTGAGTTGATCCTACTCGAGGGATGCTTTCTGGTAGCTTGGTAAGGAAGGTCCAAGGTTGGAGGCCTGAGCCAGCTCGGAAAATAAGCATGGCAGTACTTCGCTGGTTACCCATAGCTCCCCACACAGGTACTGCAGGCTAACTACAGAGCCAGCTGTCAGACATCCGCTTTCTTCTTGCTGCCCCATGCCACCTCCCCCAGCACCAGTTTTGGCCAGCTGAACCTTCTAGAAGATCTCCTGCCTTCCAATTCTGTCACTTCCTCTGCTCATCAGCACCCCCCTCCCCCCGCAACTGTCCCTCACACATGAGCCACTTCTTTCCTCTTCCCTGGACTTCGATTTTTCTCAAAACATCCTGAGTCTGTTGGAGTTCATCTCTCCATGATGCCCTTGTCTGGGGTTAAGTGTGCAAGTCTACTTCCTGATGGGGAAAGTGAGATACTGGAGTTGCCTGGCCTGCCTTAGCCTGAGGCTACACAAAGTCTCAATGACCAAAACATCTCTCTTCCACCTTTTCCAGGCCCTCACCATCAGGGGTGTGGACACAGTGTCCCGCAGCTCCTTGGAGATGTCCCCTTTGGCCCCAGTAACCACCCATGAGAGAAGAAGCAAGAGGAGAAAACGAATGTCTTTGGGGACAGAGGAGTGTGGAGATGACAGGTTCCCCAAGTCCGACTCAGAGGATGGTCCCAGAGCAATGGTAATCCCCAGCTGTGGTTCTGGCCCTTTCCGGGTGGGTCTGGCATCAAAAGCCCATCATGTTGGGCCCCATGTTGGGCCCCTGATGCAGTCACAGCCCAAGAGAGTAGTATCCTTAAGCCCCCTCCTAGCCCTTCCTGTTTCCCATGACCATTCTTGGAGTGGAGGAAGTCTGGGCAGAGAGACAAGCTAGGTTTGGGTGTTGTGATGTCCCCAACCGCAGCTAAGTCCTCAGCATTGAGACTGGGGCTGGGACCAGGGGACACCCTGTGGTGTGGATTGGTAGATACCCAAGGACATGCTCATGTGAGTCAGGTGCATGGCTGATGGCCCCAGGTCCTGCTCAGGCCAGGCTTGTTTGCACCACCAGGAGCTTTCCTGCCTCCTTCTCCCCTGCCCAGCCATAGCCACATCTTTAGGCCCAGGTCATTTTGAATCTCCAAACCCCAGGGGCACAAGCGTTAAGTGAGCAGAGATCCCAGATGATGCAGGATTAACTGTACCCCCTCCTCTGAACACACCCTAGCTCAGCCCCCACCCAGTTCCCGAGTGGCCAGCAAAAGCCCTCAATGCTTGGGGCACCTGGGTGGCTCGGTTGGTTAAGTGTCTGACTTTTGATTTCGGCTCAGGTCTAGAGCTCAGGGTCTTGAGTTCAAGCCCTGCTGGGCCTGGAGCCTGCTTACAAAAAAAAAGCCAACTCTCATTGCTGTGAGAGAACTTTGCAGTCTCAGAGAACACCACAGGGGATAGGCTGGGAGCATGTGAAGAGCTGGCTTGGTCATGTGCCTTCTCCCTGTGCCCCCAGAATCGTCTGAGCAGCACGCACGGCCTCAGCCGGACCTCCATGAAGCCGCGCTCCAGCCGCGGGAGCATTTTCACCTTTCGCAGGCGAGACCTGGGCTCAGAGACAGATTTTGCAGATGACGAAAACAGTACAGCGGGGGACAGCGAGAGCCACCGCACGTCACTGCTGGTGCCCTGGCCTCTGCGCCGGCCCAGTGCCCAGGGACAGCTCAGTCCAGGGACCTCGGCTCCCGGCCACACCCTCAACGGTAAAAGAAACAGCACCGTGGACTGCAACGGGGTGGTCTCCTTGCTGGGGGCGGGCGACCCTGAGGCCACCTCCCCAGGGAGCCACCTCCTCCACCCTGTGATCCTGGATCGCCCCCCAGACACGGTGAGCCAGCCCTGTGATGCAGCCCCAAGGCAGATCTGGTCTCCCAAACGGGTCAGCAGTGCCAGGTCCAAAATACTCACCTAGTATTTACTGAGCACCTATTGTATACTGGGCTCTGGGGGTGAATAGCAAAAAAAAAAAAAAAAAAAGAACCTCTGCCCTCATAGAGCTTCCATGATAATGGGGGCAGACGGACAAACATCAAAGAAAGAGGAAAAATAGGTATAAATGTATACATGGTATATAATGTTGACAAAGAAGAATAAGAGTTAAATATTTAGCAACTGGTAAGGCCCGGGCGCCGAGATGCCATGGTGGCACAGAACCGGTGTCCTGAAGGCCCTGGGTTTGCCAAGTGTTAACCTGTGGAGTTGCTGGATCCTGGGCACTGCAAGGGGTTCTGGGAAAGGGGCCAGAGTGGCCAGGGGTTACTTACGGGGTTCTGGGCAGCAATTATTCACCAAGCCTAAATATTTCAGTACTTTATAAACTGGTAAGCATTAGCCCAAGTAATAAGTGCTATGGAAGGGCAAGAGTAAGCATGGGGGAGCAGGAACCCTTACCCATTAGGAGGCATTTAAACAAAGACCTAAAGGAGGCAGGGGTGGGAGCCAGGCTGCTTTCTGAAACTCGGGGTGGGGGAGGGTGATATAGCACCCAGATTCTAGGCACAAACTGGGTTTGAATTCCAGCTCATGGCTTGCCAGCTGGCTGGCCATGGGCAGGTTACTTTCTTTCTCTGTGTGTCCGTCATCTGTAAAATGAATTAAAAACACCCATCTCAGATTGCTGTGAGGATGAGTGATCTCATATGCCTACAGTAACCAGGACATCATGAGTATGTTGATGCTGCCATACTGTTATAATAACATAGCATCATTGTATCATCCGAGGGAAGCCTGTTCCAGGCCTCGAGAGCAGCCAGTGCAAAGGCCCTGAGGCAGGAGCATGCCCAGCCTATTGAAGGAAATGCCATGAGGCCAGAATGGCTGGAACCTAGGGAGCAAAGGCGAAAGGAGTTGCAGTTACCGTCAAAAAGGTAGCTGAGGGACAGGGCAGAGGGTCAAAGGCCAGCCAGAGCTCTGATCACTCAGTCAGCCGGGCCCGTGACGGACTGATGGCTGCCTAGTCAGCCCTGGAGTGTCCTGGCCGACCCCTGCGCCCAACACAGTGCCCAGGGCAGCCCACCTGGGAAGAGGGCACAGGTGTGGCTTATGCCCAAGGCCTGCAAGAGATGGAGGAGGAGAGACTTCGCGAGGAAGCTAGGACAAGACAGGGAGCCTTGATCAGGAAGATGGAGGTGGGGCTGAAGAGAGAGGGCTCAGAGCCAAACGGCCGGTTTTGCTCCAGCTCAGACTCTGGCTCTGGCTGTGGGACTTGGCGCAGGTTAACGAATCACTCTGTGCCTCAATTTCCTCATCGGTTAAGTGGAAATAAAATTAATATCCACATCAGCAATTTGTGGTGAGGACTAAACAGGGTTAAGACCTGTCTGGTGATTAGACTGGTACTTGCCTCCTGTTCGAGTAACTACTACTATTATCTGTTGTCTTTAGTATTGAGGAGGAAGGAGTAAAGACTCCTGGAGCGGACTGCAGTGTGCCTGGGGCAGTCACACTCCTCTGGAGCAGGGAGTCAGAGAGAGGGTCCTGGGAGCGCACTGGGGGCAGACCACAGCTTCCTGGCGGGCCTGGAAGGGCACTGGCCGTCACCTGGAGGGTGGGATGTCTGGCCTTTCAGGAACACTGAATCCCGGTGGTCTAGGCCCCCCTGCAGGTCCAGCCCTGGAGTCTCAGCCTTGTGGAATCAGGTCAGCAGCCCAGAACACTAATAGAATTTCCTAATCTCATTAGGGAGAAAATCATCTCATTACGCTCCACATGTCAAGAGGAATCCAAGTTCAAACACTTCATTACCGGGAACTCTGACTTCACCCTTTCTCACTTCTGTGGGGCCCATTTGTAACCTCAAAGGGATCAACAGGCCAAGGGGCTTATTTGCAAAGTTAAAGGAATTAGCGGACCAAGATGGAGACATTTAAAGAGATTAGCGGGCTGTAGGCCCCTGGGAATGCCTTCTCTGCCTCCACTGGGTCCCCAGTGAGGCCTGTCTGCCCAGTTCTAAATCTGAAGGCAGGGCACGGTATGGGGCACATAGTGGGTGATCCACCAAGACAGGTGAGGGGAGGAAGGGCCAGCCCAAGAGACAGCTCATGTTTAATTTATCCCAGTCAAGGGGGTGGAGGGTGAAGCTTTCCGTTGTCCTCTGTCGATGGGAGGGCCCCTGGCCCAGAAGGCCAGTTGGGGGTGGGGAACAGCCATTCTTCTTCTCCCTCCGCATGTTAGCCTTGCACCCTCCTTTCCCCTGGTCATTCAGCACGTTTGAGGCAGGGCTAGAACTTAACCCAAGCCTTCTGATTCCCGAGCAATTATCCATGCCACCAATATTTGTCCAGCGCCAGCCTGCTGCGTTGAGTTGGAGGCTCCGGGGATATAGTGGTGAACAGAGCAGACAAGAGCTCTGACCTCGGGGAGTTTACTTTGTAGTCAGGAAGACAGATGGCAAACTGGTCAATATTTTCAGGTTGGCAACACGGGTCACGGGACAGAGAGTTGCTAGGGGGAGGGTTGGGATGGCTCTTAGAAGACTCGGGAAGTCCTTCTTGAGGAGGCGACATTAAAATTGACCTAATGATTTTAGGGAGCCAGCTACAAAGATCCGGAAGAACAGTGTTGTAGGCAGAGGGAACAGTGAGGACAAAGGCCCTGAAGCAGAGGAGGCTTGACATGTTTGAGGCATGAGAGGGCCAGGCGGGGTCAGGTGTGCTGGAAACAGCAAGAAGGGATACAAAGTGCATTTGATGAGTTAGGATTTGGACTCTACCGTGCCTCGTAGGCAATGAAAGAGTTTGGATTTACTCTGAGAAAGTTGGAAAGCATGGGGGGAGGGGAGGAGAGGATTATCATGACCTGATTTACTTTTTAAGGGAATCCCTTTCTGCTGTATAAAGAGGGAAGAGATGATAGCATGCGCTAGGGTGGGCTATGAGCCAGCCATTACTACATAATGCTGTGTAGCAAACTACCCCCAACGTCAGTGGCCAACAATAAGCCTTTTTGCTCATGCTGACTTACCTGCAGGATGACCACGGTCTGGCTGGTCTAGGTCGGGCTTGGCTGGGCAGCTCTGTTTCAGGCTGCACGTTGGCTTGGCTCCACACTGTGGGTCAGGTTCAGGGCTGCTCCAGATGTCTCTGTGCTGAGGCTCAGGCTGAACGTTTGGCGGCTACCTGGGGAAACTTTTCATAGAAGATAACTGGAGCCCAAGAGCAAGGCAGTCGGCGCAAGGACACCGAAGGCGCTGTTGTTCACATCACGTCCACTCACATTCCGTTGGCCAAAGCCAGTGTGTCATTAGTGGGACAGGGAAGGGTGCTTCCCCCACAGTGAGAGAGCAATGAGTAAATATTTGCTAAATGATAACTCAGACTATCACAGTCAAGGAGGAGGAGGAGAGAAACCAGCAGAATTTAAGACACGTCTGTGAGTTAAGCTGGCCGGGCTTGTGGTTGCCTCAGACTCAGGAACCACTGTTAACAGCAGCCCCCTCAGCCCTCTCAGGCGCCTCTGCTTGAATACTTCCATGACTGGGAGCTCACTGCCTCCCTAGGCAACATCTCAGGGCAGTCCCACCAATTGCAAAGGTTGACTTTAACTTGAGCTCAGATCGATTTGGTGACCACCCCAGGCCCTGACTCTGCCGCCCTGGGTAGCCCAGGCCCCTCTTCCTTCTGACTTGCAGAGATTATAGGGCCTTACGCTTGCACGCTGAACAGCCCCATGCCTTCCGCAGCCCTGGCTCAGGCTCTTGCACTGTGGTCACACAGGGCCATGCTGATGTGAAGGCTTCTTATCCCCACCCCCGCCCCCCACCCCCACCCTGTACTGGGAGGCAGGGCTCTGAGTAAGCCTAGAGAGTTCCTGCCGCCATCTCCCTCCATCAGATACACCACATCTCCATCCGCAGATCTGGCTCTTTTGCTTACAAAAATGATGCCAGCACAATGACAGTGAATCCCGCGGTGCTGAAGCATATAAGTGCAAGAAGACTTCGCCCTCCGCCTCGCCTCCCCCCACAATCCAATTCCCCAGATATACTCACCTTAACGATTCCGTGTGGATCTTTTGGATCTTTTTTGTGTTTTTTCATCAAACTGTTTGTCTTGGAGGTGCTCCCATGGGAACGCACATGGAACTGCCTCCTTCTCTTTACTGTCTGTATCAGGGTCCAGAGTCGGACTGTATCCATAATTGATTTTAATATTCTTTCTATTGATTGGTTTTGTTTTTATGGTATTAGGAACAATGCTGCAATGAGCATCATTGCATATATATTTTTGGTGCACGTGTATAATTATTTATGAAGTTAGATTGCTAGATGAAGAATTACAGAGCCAATTTAAAATTTTCTCAGTAGATAGAGCCAAACTGCCTCCACAGAGGCTCCCACCGCTGTGTCTAAGCATTGTGCTTCATGCTTCTATTAACGTCACCTTAGAGCAGGGTAGATTTTTTCCTTTATGTTTCTTTATGCTCTTGACCCTAGGGAGCTTGTGGTCAATTAAGACTCTCAGATTGTTTTTGCATGTACTAATGTATAATGACAGCATCTGGTTAATAGAACTTGGTACATGTAGTTTCCTGTTCACACTCAAGAATTACCACTGACGAGAGACGGTGAACAAAGGAGAATGGAGATAATGATTGGCAAGAGGGGTGGGGGATGTCAATAACAGGGAGGGAGTTGGGAGCAGAGAAACCCAGCATCTGTGTCCCATCAAGACCCCCATCCTGTCTCCCCGTGCCCACCCCCAACCCAAGTGTGGGACCGCTGTCCCAGGCCCAGCAGCCGCCCCAGGTTCAGCAGGACCCCGTGCCCAGGCTGATGCCTATGTCCTGGTTGCCCCCAGACCACACCGTCGGAGGAGCCGGGCAGGCCCCAGATCCTGAACGCCCAGGCTCCGTGTCTGGATGGCTTCGAGGAGCCCGGAGAGCGGCGGCGGGCCCTCAGTGCCGTCAGTGTGCTCACCAGCGCCCTGGAAGGTCAGCTACCCCTGGTGTCATCCAAACGCTCCCACTCCTGCCCTGGGCCCCCTCCCACCTTAGCCCGACCTGAGCCAAGCATCCCCTAGCTGCTGGGCTTGCCTTGGACCTCCCCACAGTGGGCCCAGACTTTCCAGTCTGCGTTGCCTGTGCATCCTCCAGAGCCATGTCTGTGTTTCTTCCACACGTTCCCACAGCTGTCCTGGCCTGTCCCGGGCGCTTCCCAGCCTCATCCTGTCTTCTCCCAGGCATCCTCATGCCTTCCTGGGTCCATCCTGGCCCAGGCTTGCCAACTCTGGCCTATTCCCAGCATTCCACGTCCATTCCCAGCTACTCCAAGCATCCCACGTCTGTCCCAGCCAGTCCCACCCTAGGCAACCCGCAGCCGTTCCAGTCTGCACTTGGCACCCCCCCACCACCACCCATCTTGTTCCCTCCTGTCCTGTATGTGTTCACATCTTTTCTGGCCTGTTCCAGGCACCCGCCATCTGTCCTAACATGTCCCAGATGCCCACGTCTGTTCTTCTTGTTCTGGGTGTCCTTAGATCCGACCTCGCCTGTCTCGGACGTTGTCTTGTCCTTTTCAGCTCGTCCTCCCCCCGGGGGTCCCCATGTCTGTGTGAGACTGTTGTCTGCAGACAGCCCATATCTGTCATCATCTGTCTTGTCCCAGTTGACCCCACATCCACCCTGACCTCCTGCCCCTGTGGCCCTCTCCTATCCTATTTCCAGAGCAAGGGGCCGGGACATAAGCCACACCTTCCCTTAACCTTCCCTGTCCCTCTCACTGTCCCCCTATCACGTAGCAGCCCTACCCTCTCCCCAGCTAAGTCAGACGTCTTTTCTGGAATACCAAATTATATGTGAGTCGGTCCACAAAAACACAAACCCACTCACTGGCTGCCCCCACCTCCAGAGTTGGAAGAGTCTCACCGCAAATGTCCACCATGCTGGAACCGCTGTGCCCAGCGCTACCTGATCTGGGAGTGCTGCCCGCTGTGGATATCCATCAAGCAGAGAGTGAAGTTCGTGGTCATGGACCCATTCGCCGACCTCACCATCACCATGTGCATCGTGCTTAACACACTCTTCATGGCACTGGAGCACTACAACATGACAACTGAATTCGAGGAGATGCTGCAGGTTGGAAACCTGGTAAGGGCTGCCAGCAGCCGACTCTCAAATGGGCATCCTGGTGTGATGGGCTCTCGGCCGGGAGGCACAGCCTTCGTGGATAGGGAGGGCCATTCAGAGCACAAAAGGATCTTCTGAAGGTGGGAGTCACTGTGGAAGACATCTTGGAACAGGAAGTGCCAGGAGCAGGTTTTAAGGAGCTGAGAGATAGAGCTGGGAGTGAGAAGTTGGGGATACAGATGCCCAGAGGCTAGAAAGCCAAGGTGAGTTGAGGGTGAACTGGAAATGTGCAGGGACGTGAGATATGGCAGTTAGTAATGGAGGAGGAGAGTGTATGCAATAAGAGGCAGTTCTCTCAGGGGAAGGATGGATGGGCAGAGAGTGTTTGGATGGATGGATGGATGGATGGATGGATGGATGGATAGATGGATAGTTGGGGGGAGTTGAGTCAATCAGGCAGAGCCAGATTTGAATTCTGACTCAGCTCTTACTATGTGACCTCAAGCAAATTACTTAGTCGCAGTCATTGGCACAATAAGTATTTGCTTAATTTAATAAATGTAAAATTAGTATGACAATATCAAGCTCATAGGAAGCTAATGAGAATTGAATAAGGTAATGTGTATAATGTGCTTGGCTCAGAGTTTGATAAAAAGTAAGCACTCAAAATAAATGATAGCTGCGGTCTGTGGTTATTATCACTGTTGCTGTTATTAAAAAGACTGCTCCTGGAAGTCAGAATGTCTGGGTTCTGATTCTGATTTTTTTTCCTTGAGATCAAATCAGGTCCTACCTCTTTATTCTAAAGATGGGAAACTGAGGCTCAAGAGGTGACATAGTGGTGGCAGAGCTGGGCATGCGACTACTGTCTCCTGACTCTGAAAGACAGGGCCCTACTGGTTCTGCCCAGCTACACACGGACAGCCATTCTCCAGGGGATCCCAGGTCAAGGCTGGCAGAGAGCTCAGTGGCCTCTGAACGGAGCTTCTGGGACCGTCACTAAGGCTGGGTGGAGGAGAAGGCTATTCAGTCCAAGCTTTCTCTTAACTGCAGAGCCAGCCCTATCTCGGTCCCAGTGGCACAGGTGGCCCCCCAGACAGACAGGTCTCCTACACTGTCGAGTGTGAGGATTTTCTTCCTTTATTACTTCCTGTATCTAGAACTCTGGATAGTTATCTCAGGGTCTGTTCAATTTTTTTCACAAACAAGAGTCCATTTTGCTATAATTCTACTTTCTTTCCTTCTATCTGCAAACAGAAGGGAAAACTCTACTACAGTCTGTAGGTGTCTCATGGCACAATTGTGCCTGCCTGGTGTTGGGTGGTCTTCAGATGGTGGTTATGTAGGGTTGCAGTTGAATGCGGTTTTATTGGAATGCGACCATTGGGTTGCACTGAGCAGCAAATCAAGGTGATAAAGAACACTGGTGGCTTCTCTGGATCACTGACTTGTGATTGAATTGAAGTTGATTTAAACTTGGGGTTCTGTTGTGAGTAAGAGGTCATGTCTTTGGAGTAAAGCTCTCTTTTGTTTCATTTGGATAGCTTTATTGCTACTATGTAAGGTTTTGATTGTCCTGAAGTTAACATATTCTCAATGGTTTAAATGTTACATGTAAAGAAAAAAACCCACAACAATAAGCATGGGAAAATAATCTCAGTATGGGAAAAACCTTTCTGCTTCTTCTCTCTATGCCCCCATCCCTGTCAAATAAATAAATATAATCTTTAAAAAAAAAAAAAAAACCTTTCGGGGCGCCTGGGTGGCTCAGTCGTTAAGCGTCTGCCTTCGGCTCAGGTCATGATCCCAGGGTCCTGGGATCGAGCCCCACATCGGGCTCCCCGCTCCGTGGGAAGCCTGCTTCTCCCTCTCCCACTCCCCCTGCTTGTGTTCCCTCTCTCACTGTGTCTCTCACTGTCGGATAAATAAAATCTTTAAAAAAATAAAATAAAATAAAATAAAAAATAAATAAATAAGTAAAAAACCTTTCTAAGCGAAGATAAATAGATTTGACTTTTAGCCCATCATCTAAAGATCAAATGCAACTTCTATTCCTAACATTGTGGACCAAAAAACCTGAAAAATCCCCTCCTAAGAAACAACTAAGAATACAGCAAATACTCTTGGAAATGCACATCAAAGCTCATGAGAAAGTAACAAAAATCTCCTAGTGTCAGAAACAAAGAGGAACTTAAAAACCATAGCAATAAACATGTGAAATGGTTCTGTAGTTGCCCCCGTGGGGGTCGGGGAGCAGGTGATATTGCTGATTTGGGGACTTGGATTTTAGTGAACATATAGAGACAAGACAGGCTTTTAGACTGTGAGTAGGGGTTGGAACTGAGTAGCCCCATGAGAATATAACCCTACTTTCAGTAGAATGGTGAACCAGAAAAAAATCCTGGCACTGAAATTGGGAAATGATAAAGAAAGGAAGCCTGTCAGTCTCAGCCAGGGCTGAAGAGGAGGGAAAAAGTAACCTCTGGAAGCTTGTGACTGTGAATTTGGCCTTATACAGATTTGGCGTTCAAATTTATAGCTGAGTGTTTCTGGAACCTATGCCTAAAAATTTTATAACAGATAAAGTGATCCTATGATATCTTGGGGCCCCTGCAAGAAGTAAACCCAAAACTTCTCTGGAAAGACACACTTTTGTTGTTGCTGTTGTTGTTCTTTTAATATTTAATTTTGTGTCGTGGTTAAAAACACCTTTAACAATTTTTAAATATATAGTTCGGCAGTGTTAACTATATGCATATTGCTGTACAAGGGGCCGCGTGGGTTCCCCTGCGCCTCCCCCCCCCCAAAGTTTTTAAATTCCAGATAACATACAGTGTAATATAGTTTCAGGTGTAGAATTTTAGTGATTCATGGCTTATATGTAGGGCCATGTGGTTCTTCTTTTTTTTTTTTTTTTGACTTTCTAATTTTTATTTTATTTTTTTAACCCATCCCCCCACCCCCCTCCCCTCTAGAACCCTCAGTTTCTTTTTCAGAGTCCATCCTCT